GGTGTGGCACGGACAATAATGATTGTCAACATCCTTCCTTTCCATTTCTACCCTGTCACCCCCTCTTTGAATCCCTTCGCTGATTTCCTGTCTCCAACATCAGGTCCGTGCTCCCTGCCCTCGCTGCCTCAGCTCTCCACAGCTGTCCGTCTGCCTGCATGTCTGCTGTCATGCCACTGCTCCCGCTCTGCCACGCCATCCATCCTGATGCTCCTTTTGCCCCATTCCCCCGTTCCAGTGCCTTGCCTCCCTCTGCCCCTGTAACCTCCTCCCTCCTGTCGTACACCGGGCCCCCTCTCTCTCCTTCTCTTAGTGTCTCACTTCCTTCACCACTGATTTCTTCTTCATCCCCTTGTGAAGTCCTGTACCTAGTAGTGAGCTATTAAAAAACATGCAGTTTGCATAAAACTACAGCAGGCAAAAAAAAAATCACTTCTGTAACTATTACTAATTCAGTGAAGTGTTTGGAGATGCATCTGTAGGAAGCATGAATTGCTAACCTCATAGTTAGACATTGATGCTAATCTCACATTCTCTGGGGTGTATATTATCACTTCCTGGGAAAAAATCAAATCTGGTGGGTAGGTGTGAGAAGGTCTGAGCTGAATGTAGGGCCTAGTTTCATGTTCATGAGATGCGTTGGTGGGCTTAATGAGCTGATCCAACTCAGATTTGGATAGGGTTATGGATTTGCTGGGGTTTACATTATCAGCATTAAGTTATAAACCCAAGTGGTGCCTTTTTGGTTTTTGGTCTCCATTGTGAAATGGCTGCGTGGTCGACGTCATTGGCAGGGGTGTGGCAGAGTAGGATTGTGGTGCGTCTACAGTGTTCACGTAGGGTCTGTGCCTGGACTAGTAGAAGTTTTATAGGTCAAGATTGAGAAGCACTGAGCGAGAGCTGGAGCTGTCTGCTTATCCTGCACCGCACCTGTCCTCTTGTTGCCCATCTAACCAGTCACACTAACATCTGCATTTAAAAAAGCAAAGTTTGTCTTTACCTGCTTAAAAAAAATTGTCAGTCATTTTCCTTTTTGTATTTTGTGAGACTTGCAACGTGAGTGGATGAATTTTGCTTGTGTCAGGGAAACAGGGCTGGGGACATGTAAGGGAAAAGGGAACTTGTTTGGGACATCTTAACGGGCACAGATAGAGAGAAGAGAGAACAAAATACACAGGAGAAGATGAGCGAGAGACAAAGGAGGAACAGAAAAGACTAAAGGGGAAATAATAAAAGTATCAGAAAAAATGCTTTAGAGAATAGGAGAGCCAGGGTCAGGCGCCGGCTCAGATACAGCAGTGCGGTTGCTATGCTCCCAAATTGGCCATTAATATGTTCTCGTCTCATTAATTGCAAGGTTCTGTCGCTGCACTGCATTGCTGCTGCTGAGATTGGCATTACTAATTTGGCCCTTCAGCCCAGGCTACCTGGTGTTGCGAATCTCTCAGGTGGCACAGGCTCCCTGGGCCATGTCACTGTGTGGGTGGGAGACCAACCAGGAGTTGCAGGATGTAGCTTGAACAGCTTTGTAGGCACACTTGTTGCGGAGTCTGTAGTGAGATAATGCCCCAGTGCGGTGCTAGGGGGCGCTGTGCTGTGTGATGTGCCATCTTTCAGATGCCATGTACATGCTGGGCATTCCCCGCCCAGCCCAGTTGGACCTAAATTCCAGGGCACCTTCAACAGTGCTTGCTGGGTGCAGTGCGGCATGATTATTCCTCTGGCCCTCCGGTTTGAGGGGCTTCATGGCTGTCCCTTCTTTGCCCCCAGGCTGTTAGCGTGGTTTGGTCACTTTGATCTGGAGCTTGTGGGGACATGGGAAGAGGAGGGGGATCTTCTTTGTTTCGGTGATAACTTGGTTTTGGTTCCATAAAGCCTGGCGCTGGGAACAGCAGGTAGCAGGGCAGGGCGGAGCAGTGAGTGGAATTTCCTCTCTGGCCTTGCGGGTGGACTTGGCCTTCCCATTTCTTGCTTTCAGAATGACGCTGTCGTCTGGTAATATGAGACCAAGCAGCAGGGTTGGGCGGTGGTCACTCGGTTTGCTGGGGCTCTGCCACCGGAGAGTTGTTGCTGGTGTGAATTGTGTTGGGTGCTGCATCGCAGCAGCTCCACTAGGGAGCATAAAATTCAGAGTCCAGTTCAGAGGCACCCTGAGGCGCTTCTGCTGTCTTCTTTTAGAGCTGCCTGGTTCCCGCCAGGTGCTCAGCACCATTGACTTCTCTGGGGCAGCACTTGACACCAGCTGGCCTGTGACGTTTTATTTCTCCCTCAGTGGTTGGTCTCCTCTTAGTGGGGGTGGTTTCTGTGTTGGGTGAATTAAGTTGGGTGCGAGCCCTTGGCTAGGACGGAAACTGTGGACTGAACGTTTAGATCCAAGATGAGGAAAATGAGGTGCACAGCGGTGAAATGGATTGGTGCAGGTCCCACAGGGGTTTATGGTCGAAGCAGGGGTAGAACTCAGATCCCCAACTCTATCCTGTGCTTTGACTACAAGATTATCCTTACCAACCAGTCTTTCCGTGGAATTAACTCCTCACATAGGGAGTTGTTGCTGTCTGGAATAAATAATCCGTGGCAGTAACAAATACAATTCTAATTAAATTAATTTTAGAAAGGCACTGGTGTGAATAGGCCGGTGCCCCTTTTATTGCCCACCACTGCAAAGACACATGCAATAAGGTATGGTGCAAAACTTCACCCCCTTCCACAGACTTGAGTGTATTCTCAAACAGCAAACCCCTGAGACTGGACTGTACTTCCAAACACAGGACAAGCCTGGGCTTCTTTCAGTGCTGTATTTTTAGGAATCCCCCTCTATCACCTATTGCCTCTTAGGTGGACTCTGCTTCTTATGCTTCTCGGGGGAAATAGTGAGACGCAGCTGTTCTGCCTGTCACGGTGAGTCAGCAGAGTAACTCCGCATCCCCCCCACCCAGGGTCCTAAAGCTTGGCACACCTGGTCCCTGTTTTTCTAATCTTTAGAAATATATTCTGCAGAGTGAACTCTAGATGACCAAGTTAGGACAGGCTTCAATATGTGTCCAAGTGTATCACCATGCTGCTGGAACACCTTCCGTAGAGCCAAGTGAGGCGCACGTGACGGAAGCGTTTGCTTCACAGCCCCAAGCGTGCGCCTGCGTCCGCAGGGCCTGTGGTACGGCAGCTGGGCTCTGCAGCGGAGTCCGTGAGGAGATGTTTGGTCTCCAGCGGAGCTGGTAGCTGCCTGTTTTTCTTCAGATTCTAGCTGCTGACCTTCAACAGGTGATTTGTGACTGCCACTCCTGGCTTAAGAAAACCCCTCCGTGAGAGACATTCAAATAGATTTCTGTGCCTGCGACCGCAGAGCTGTGTCAGTGGTTAGAGCGCTGCAGCCCTGCGGAGTTCAGTAATGATTTCTCTCTACGGGCTTGTACACCTGGCAGCATTCACCCAGCCCCGCTCAGTGGACAGTTCTCACCAATTAATGTGCTCCTCTCTGGGGAGCTGGAACTTCCCTCACGCACCAGCCCCGCTGGAATGCAGTTGCAACTGTGGTGGGAGAGCAGCTCTCTTTGCAAATCCTGCCAGAGACTGGCTTCTCTCCCCGATCACAGCTGGAGATGTTTTCTCACCACGGTGATCAGAGAATGTTGTCCCTGGCTCTGTCTTCTTCCTGCGCTGATTCTTCCCATGCTTTCTGCTTTAGCTGATCAAAGGAAACCTCTCCAAATCCAGTCTCCAGAGCCTGTTGGGTTTTGTTGCCTTGTGGAATTCTCCTAACCTAAACAAGAGTATGGGGGGGCTGAAGTGAGGGCATGCAATGGATGCAAAATTAATTAACCCCTTCAGTACTGGGAGAGTGGATGCCACAGGGGACTAGTAAAGGAATATGTGACCTTTGCCGCCTTGCCATTGTTCATATTCATCTTAGATAGATAATGACTGAAAGTCATTGACATCGGATGGCTGTTTGATGGCCTGTGTGGAAATGCATTGGTTGGTTTTGGTGGAGTCCCCAGTGGACAGATGTTTCTGGGTCAAATTTTCCAAAGCATCTAAAATCTGGTTTTCAGAAGTGATTTAGATGCTTAAAGCCAAGAATTACATAAATAACTAGTGAGTTTGTTTGCCTCAGTATTCACGTGTCCAACTCAAGGCTCTGAAAGGAGCCTGATTATTAGAGGGTTGGTGTCCAGTGCTTTCTGAAAATCTGCATGCTTTATGGTGTCCTGAGTTGGATGTCAAAACTGGAGGCATCCAAATCAGTTGCTTTTGAAAATATCGGCCTTAGAAGTTTCCTTGAGACTCAATGGGATTGTGGCTGCTAAGTACCTGAATGCGCTTTGAATAGGGGAGTAAGGCTCTTTAGGTGACTTAAGGTGAAATTTTCAAAAGCCCCTGTCAGTCTGCATGGGCACTCTTCACCATAGTATCTGAGCACCTCATGGACACTGCGGAATATATTCTCACAGCATCCTTGCAAAGCTAGGCCAGTTTTATCCCCGTTTTACTGAGGCACGCAGAGATTTTCCAAGGTGCCACCCGCCCTCCTTCACAGCAGGGAAATCATCCACACAGTTTCATTAGTGGTCCCTCTTTGTGGCAGCCTTGCTCTGGAGGCTAAGATTTGAACGGGCTGTGGAATCGGAAGCAACCATTCTGCTGAGAACCCCTGTTTGAAACTCCAGAGGGAGGTGGAGCCAATTCCTCCCCACTGGTCCTGCTAGCATGCTTCAGCTTTGATCTGGGGAGGGGGCCTATCTGTAAGAATAGTGGCGGGGGAATTCAGCTCAATTCTAGCTCGCTTTGCTGAGAGGGCAAAGCTGCTGCCTCTGACATACTGTTGTAGGGATAAATAGGAAAATTCATATGTCAAGCCATAAAGAGAAACCTTCACATACACCAAGGTTTTTGTGTATTTGTATTTTACAAATAAATAAAAAGAAGTTCCTAGGTTTTTTTTCCCTCCAATTTAAAAACCTAATGTGCATGTGTTCTTTTTTCCCCTCATCCTTCCCCAGATCTGAACCATGTCCCACCCATCATGGCTGCCGCCAAAGAACACCAATGAACCCGTTGGTCACGTCACTGCGAGAATGGAGACCACGCATGCTTTTGGGACCCCCAGCATCTCTGTGTCCACGCAGCAGATGCCAAAGAAGTTTGCACCTGTTGTTGCTCCAAAGCCAAAGTACAATCCATACAAACAGCCGGGGAGTGATGGTAAGAAACCTTTGAAAAGGAGTGTGGTGGCATGGCAAGTTCTCCATGCGATCTCTGCTAAATACATGGGTGTTTACTGGGTGAAACTGACCCCTGTGCTGTGAGCCAGCACACTGTGTTTTCACCGCCAAGTCCTGCACGTGTTGTGTGTGTCTGCATGGGAGTGAATTTCATCCATTGTATATAGAATCATAGAATATCAGGGTTGGAAGGGACCTCAGGAGGTCATCTAGTCCCACCCCGTGCTTAAAGCAGGACCAATCCCCAATTAAATCATCCCAGCCAGGGCTTTGTCAAGCCTGACCTTAAAAACTTCTAAGGAAGGAAATTCCACCACCTCCCTAGGTAATGCTTTCCAGTGTTTCACCACCCTCCTAGTGAAAGTTTTTCCTAACATCCAACCTAAATCTCCCCTACTGCAACTTGAGACCATTACTCCTTGTTCTGTCCTCTGCTACCACTGAGAACCTAGAGCCATCCTCTTTGGAACCCCCTTTCAGGTAGTTGAAAGCAGCTATCAAATCCCCCCTCATTCTTCTCTTCCGTAGATTAAACATCCCCAGTTCCCTCAGCCTCTCCTCATAAGTCATGTGTTCCAGTCCCCTAATCATTTTTGTGGCCCTCTGCTGGACTCTCTCCAATTTTTCCACATCCTTCTTGTAGTGTGGGGCCTAAAACTGGACACAGTACTCCAGATGAAGCCTCACCAATGTCGAATAGAGGGGAATGATCACGTCCTTCGATCTGCTGGCAATGCCCCTACTTATACATCCCAAAATGCCATTGGCCTTCTTGGCAACAAGGGCACACCGTTGACTCATATCCAGCTTCTCGTCCACTGTCACCCCTACGTCCTTTTCTGCAGAACTGCTGCCTAGCCATTCGGTCCCTAGTCTGTAGCGGTGCATTGGATTCTTCCGTCCTAAGTGCAGGACTCTGCACTTGTCCTTGTTGAACCTCATCAGATTTCTTTTGGCCCAATCCTCCAATTTGTCTAGGTCCCTCTGTATCCTATCCCTACCCTCCAGCGTATTTACCTCTCGTCCCAGTTTAGTGTCATCTGCAAATTTGCTGAGGGTGCAATCCACACCATCCTCCAGATCATTTATGAAGATATTGAACAAAACCGGCCCCAGGACCGACCCTTGGGGCACTCCACTTGATACCAGCTGCCAACTAGACATGGAGCCATTGATCACTACCCATTGAGCCCGACAATCTAGCCAGCTTTCTATCCACCTTATCGTCCATTCATCCAGCCCATACTTCTTTAACTTGCTGGCAAGAATACTGTGGGAGACAGTGTCAAAAGCTTTGCTAAAGTCAAGGAACAACACGTCCACTGCTTTCCCTTCATCCACAGAGCCAGTTATCTCATCTTAGAAGGCAATTAGATTAGTCAGGCATGACTTGCCCTTGGTGAATCCGTGCTGACTGTTCCTGATCACTTTCCTCCCCTCTAAGTGCTTCAGAATTGATTCCTTGAGGACCTGCTCCATGATTTTTCCAGGGACTGAGGTGAGGCTGACTGGCCTGTAGTTCCCAGGATCCTCCTCCTTCCCTTTTTTAAAGATGGGCACTACATTAGCATTTTTCCAGTCGTCCGGGACCTCCCCCGATCGCCATGAGTTTTCCAAGATAATGGCCAATGGCTCTGCAATCACATCCGCCAACTCCTTTAGCACTCTCGGATGCAACGCATCCGGCCCCATGGACTTGTGCTCGTCCAGCTTTTCTAAATAGTCCTGAACCACTTCTTTCTCCACAGAGGGCTGGTCACCTCCTCCCCATGCTGTTCTGCCCAGTGCAGTAGTCTGGGAGCTGACCTTGTTTGTGAAGACAGAGGCAAAAAAAGCATTGAGTACATTAGCTTTTTCCACATCCTCTGTCACTAGGTTGCCTCCCTCATTCAGTAAGGGGCCCACACTTCCCTTGGCTTTCTTCTTGTTGCTAACATACCTGAAGAAACCCTTCTTGTTACTCTTAACATCTCTTGCTAGCTGCAACTCCAGGTGTGATTTGGCCTTCCTGATTTCACTCCTGCATGCCCGAGCAATATTTTTATGCTCATCCCTGGTCATTTGTCCAATCTTCCACTTCTTGTAAGCTTCTTTTTTGTATTTAAGATCAGCAAGGATTTCACTGTTAAGCCAAGCCGGTCGCCTGCCATATTTACTATTCTTTCTACACATCGGGATGGTTTGTCCCTGTAACCTCAATAAGGATTCTTTAAAATACAGCCAGCTCTCCTGGAGTCCTTTCTCCCTCATGTTGTTCTCCCAGGGTATCTTGCCCATCAGCTCCCTGAGGGAGTCAAAGTCTGCTTTTCTGAAGTCCAGGGTCCATATTCTGCTGCTTTCCTTTCTTCCTTGTGTCAGGATCCTGAACTCGACCATCTCATGGTCACTGCCTCCCAGATTCCCATCCACTTTTGCTTCCCTTACTAATTCTTCCCGGTTTGTGAGCAGCAGGTCAAGAAGAGCTCTGCCCCTAGTTGGTTCCTCCAGCACTTGCACCAGGAAATTGTCCCCTACAGTTTCCAAAAACTTCCTGGATTGTCTGTGCACCGCTGTATTGCTCTCCCAGCAGATATCAGGATGATTGAAGTCTCCCATGAGAACCAGGGCATGCGATCTAGTAACTTCTGCGAGTTGCCGGAAGAAAGCCTCGTCCACCTCATCCCCCTGGTCCGGTGGTCTATAGCAGACTCCCACCACGACATCACCCTAGTTGCTCATACTTCTAAACTTAATCCAAGACTCTCAGGTTTTTCTGCAGTTTCATACTTGAGCTCTGAGCAGTCATACTGCTCTCTTACATACAGTGCAACTCCCCCACCTTTTCTGCCCTGCCTGTCCTTCCTGAACAGCTTATATCCATCCATGACAGTACTCCAGTATGTGAGTTATCCCACCAAGTCTCTGTTATTCCAGTCACATCATAATTCCTTGCCTGTGTCAGGACTTTGAGTTCTCCTTGCTTGTTTCCCAGGCTTCATGCATTTGTGTATAGGCACTTGAGATAACCCGCTGATCGCCCTTCTTTCTCAGTATGAGGCAGGAGCCCTCCCCTCTCACGCACTCCTGCTCGTGCTTCCTCCCGGTATCCCAGTTCCCCACTTACCTCTGGGCTTTGGTCTCCTTCCCCTGGTGAACCTAGTTTAAAGCCCTCCTCACTAGGTTAGCCAGCCTGCTTGCGAAGATGCTCTTCCTTCTCTTCGTTAGGTGGAGCTTGTCTCTGCCTAGCACTCCTCCTTCTTGGAACACCATCCCATGGTCAAAGAATCCAAAGCCTTCTCTCCGACACCACCTGCGTAGCCATTCGTTGACTTCCACGATTCGACGGTCCCTACCCCGGCCTTTTCCTTCCACGGGGAGGATGGACGAGAACACCACTTGCACCTCCAACTCCTTTATCCTTCTTCCCAGAGCCACGTAGTCTGCAGTGATCCACTCAAGGTCATTCTTGGCAGTATCATTGGTGCCCACTTGGAGAAGTAGGAAGGGGTAGCAGTCCGAGGGCTTGATGAGTCTCGGCAGTTTCTCCGTCACATCGCGAATCTTAGCCCCTGGCAAGCAGCAGGCTTCTCGGTTTTCCCGGTTAGGGTGGCAGGTAGATGACTCAGTCCCCCTGAGGAGAGAGTCCCCGACCACCACCACCCGCCTCCTTCGCTTGGGAGCGGTGGTCGTGGAACCCCCAACCCTAGGACAGTGCATCTCATGCCTTCCAATCGGTGGAGTTTCCTTCTGCTCCCTTCCCTCAGACGTATCATCTGGTCCACTCTCCGCATTGGTACCTGTGGAGAGAACATGAAAACGGTTTACTTACCTGTACCGGCGTTGCTGGTACATGGACGTTCCCCTTTTTTCTTCTGGAGGTCACATGCTGCCAAATTTCTTCACCGTCTTCCTGTCCCCGCTGCGCAGCCTGCTCTGAATCTTCAGAATGTTGTGTCTGTAGAAGCATATTCTGACGTCTGTCCAGGAAATCCTCAGTTTCTCTTATGCAACGCAGGGTCGATACCTGTTGCTCCAGACCTTGAACCTTCTCTTCCAATATGGAGACCAGCTTGCACTTTGTACAGACAAAGTCGCTTCTGTCCTGTGGAAGAAAGACAAACACAGCACATCCAGTGCAGGTCACAACAGCTGAACACCCCCCATCCATATTACCTTCCTTCTATGAGCTTCCTCAGGAGTTGTAGTAATTACTCGGAGAATCCGGCAAGATGTAAGCCTCAGTGGGCTCTCCCCAGGCAAACTCCTTCTGTTAGCTGCCGTGCTGTTCGCTGCTCAGCTGGTTCGCAGCTGACTGGCTTTTTATACAGTCAGGCCCACTTATGGCTCACCTGGAACAAAGCACTCCCAGTTCTCGCCCTTTTCAAACAACCAATCAAGCACACAGTCAAACTGTCCTCACAACAAACACTCAGATACTCACCAACACAGCCTCCTTAATGCAGCCCTTAGCGTACCTCCTCTCAGGAAGATCTCAGGCAAACTCCTTCTGTTAGCTGCTGTGCTGTTCGCTGCTCAGCTGGTTCACAGCTGATTTATATCTGATTTAGGGGAATCAGCCCCCTTCTGCTAGATGCTGATGAGTTACTCTACGTTACTGACACCTTGTTTGAGGTTACCTGATTACAGAGCAGTTCAAATGAAAATCTTGGGGTAGCTTTTGAGCGTGTTCCTTCTAGCTATCCTCACATTATTTAAAAAAGATAAAAAAATCATTGTGGGCCCCATCTTATTTTCTTAACAGTTGATGCCAACATCCACTTTCTAAGGCCATTCCTTTTCCAAAGACGACATGCTCCGTAGCATGGGGAGGGTTAGGGCTTTTGCGCTGGCTCAGTGGGAAGTACCATGCAAAGTACTAAGTCTGGGGATGTGGCAGGATGATAGGGCAAGTTGTTGGCAGAACTGCTGTCCAGCCAGTTGGATGAATTCAGCATTACGGCTCCCCTAGTATCCCAAATTCTTAAGAATTAATATTTTAAA